TTAGGGTTGCCAGGTATTTCTCAGAAGTATTTCTCGGGTATTTGAAGCTGCCTAGCCGGTGCCGGTATTGCAGTAATACCAGCAATACAAATATAAGTCTCAGTATAAACAGAGATTATTCTGCAATACCAGCACCGGCCATTAGGGGGTCGCTGTGTGTGTGGATAGGGGTAGGGATAAAAAGTTACAGCATCTTCCTTCCTGCCTCTCTCTACTCACTGATCCGCGGGGGAGCAGCTCTGCACAGAGAGTCCAGACAGCAGCTCCGAGCCTGCAGAGACAGCCAACAGCTCAGGTAAGTGTGGGATGGGAGAAAGGCTGCAGGGAGACATGGGGACATAGACACTAGGGGAACACTGGGAGACATTAAGGGACATTGAGACACTAAGGGACACTGTGAGACATGGGGACAATTGGAAACACTGAGACACTAGAGGGCACTGGGAGACCTGGCAACACAGACACTAAGGAAAACTGTGATAGATGGGGACGGTGAGAGACTTGGGGATACTGGGAGACATAGGGACACTCTGTGACACAGACACTAGGGGGCACTTGGAGACCTGGGGACACAGAGACACTAGGGGAAACTGTGAGACATGGGGACGGTGAGAGACTTGGGGACACTGAGACATTAAGACACTGGGAGACATGTCTCCTAGTGGCCCCTAGTGTCTCAGTGTCCCAATGTCTCCCAGTGTCCCTGGTGTCTGTGTCCCTAGTCTCCCAGAGTCCCCCAGAGTCCCCTAGTGTCTCAGTGTCCCCATGTCTCACAGTGTACCAATGTGTCTAAGTGTTCCCTAGTGTCCTAGTGACATGGAGACACTGGGAGACATGGGGACACAGACTCTAAGTGACACTGGGAGACATGGGGATACTGAGACACTAGGGGACCTTGAGAGACATGGGGACACTGGGCGACTTTGAGACCTGGGAGACATGGGGCACTCCCAGTGTCCCCATGTCTCCCAGCCAGTGTCCTTAGTATCTCAGTGTCCCCATGTTTCCCAGTGTCCCTGGTGTCTCAGTGTTTCCTAGGAAAGCTGACCTTGATGGACGCAAGTCTCTTTTCAACTAGGTAACTATGTAACTAGTCTCCCAAAGTCCCCTAGTCTACCAGTGTCTCAGTGTCCCAATGTCTCCCAGAGTCCCCTAGTCTCCCAGTTTCCCCATGCCTCACAGTTTCCCCATTTCTCACTTTCCCCCTAAGTGTATCAGTGTCCCCTAGTATAAAATAAAAAAATCTCAGGCACTCACTGTGATAGATTTAAGCAGGTTTATTGGACATCACAACGTTTTGACCTGTAACCAGGTCTTTATCAAGTCTCCAGTGTCCCCTACATATCACAGTGTCTCAGTGCCCCATGTCTCCCAGTGTTCCCTAGTATCTCAGTGTTCCCATGTCTCCCAGTGTCCCAATGTCTCTCAATGTCCCCTTGTGACATGGGGACACTGGGAGACATGGGGACACAGACACAAAGAGACTGGAAGGCATGCCCTCTTTTTGGGTATGTTTGCCCCTTTCAGCAGTTCTGGTTATGTGATTTGCGCCAGTGGCCCACCCTTTTACTCCATCTATAGACTTTCTGCTTTACTGGACACTGCTGTTAGGGGGTATGGATTTACTTGAAAGATGAAAGCGTGAGATTAGTATAGGTTATGTGTTTTCTCATAGCTGCATCCTATGAGTTTCCCTCCAGCACCATCTCCATTAGATACATGAGGCTTGGAAGGTAGGACTGTTTTAGTGTTTTTGGTCGATAAGATTTTGTAATTAGGCCCATCATAATTGTCTGTACCAGGCCCACTGGGCTCTTAATCTGGTAATAATAGGGAACCTAAGAGAATGGGTGAGGAATAAAGAAATAAATGCTGCTTGCATTTTAGTGGGCAAGCAGCCATCTTAAATTGACTGGCTTGGTAACAGCTTCCCGCACTCCCTCCTTTGCGGATGTTGTTTGTTTTCTGTTCTAATTTTTGTCTTTTGTCACAGCGGGTGGATGAAGGTCTTTGACAAGCCAGGTTGGATTAGCGGTCCGTGGGATGATGAATGTTGAGGGCTGATCCCTCCGCTAACCTTGGGTACAGGTATGGGTTAATGGACGGGCTCACTGAGCCAATGGCAGGCTATTGGTCAGCATTACATTAACGTAAGACCAGGCTAAAGGCCATTTTAATGGTTAGGATGAGTGGGGAGGACAAGAGCCCAGGTAACTGGATTAGGTTGGCACGGTGGTACTCTATAGAAGTGGTTGATAATCAGTTATATTATATTAATATGTTTTGAGTTGATGTAAATGACATCTGTTATTTAATAACGCTGTATCCGTTTTTTGACACCAAGTACGTTTGTAGTCTCGTTATTTAGGATGGGAAGTAAAAGGGGTGGGGCTAATAGGTGTCCCAGCTCCCCCCCCCTCCAATACACAGTCCCCTCTGCCTATGCACATGACTCTAGACTACCTTTGTGTGTGTGACAGTTACTATTACCTCTAGCCTATTTAGAATCTGTATAATGTGCGCTATTGCCTCTCCATGTTTTGTTTCTCTCCTGCAGACCTTATTACATATAATTTGAGAGAAGTATTGTTTTACTTACTTTTGTGTGTATTTTATTTATTGTTAAGATGTGAAGGAAGGGAATCTCACATGGATTTTATTGAGTATTCTATGGACTCTATATAACTAAATTGTGTGTTGTACATCACTTAGTGAGTAACCCTGTTTGAATTGCTAACAATTCACACTTTAGCAAATAGCTCTGATTGTTTTTACCAGTGACTAATAGCTAATTGCTGTATTGAAACATATCTGTATCATAGCTGTAATTTTCATTTTTTTCAAATACCTATTTCACAATAAAAAATTAATCATAAATACATTATTCTAACATGCAGCAGATCCATTTGACCCAAGAAAAAACAAAAACAGCATTTTTAAATTTTATTTTTACACAACACTAATTTACCTTATGGTATCACTAAATTCACCCAAACCACGTCATCCCAATGAAGTGTCCTGGGTGCAGAGGACCTGTAGTTGTAACCCTACAATGTAAAACAATACAGTTTTACAGAAACTGCAATGTATCAAATGTACAGCCAATGTACACACCTCCAGTGGCTCTTCCACACAGCCACTATAAGCACTTCTGAGAATCGTTCATATAGTAGTATTTGACTGGTGCAGCGCGGTGCTGCCGGTCATGAGCACAAGTCTCCCGGTGTATCCATATGGTAAACATTGACGTTGGCAGGTGGGCTTATCCTCTCATGGCCATTGGAGGTAACTAAAAAACCTCAATTTGTTTAAAAATACATAGGGATTAAGGAGAGAGCACAGGTATCTTGTTTTTCTTTGGTTTAACCCCCTTAAGGACCAAACTTCTGGAATAAAATGGAATCATGACATGTCACACATGTCATGTGTCCTTAAGGGGTTAAACCAGTGGCGTACATACCAGGGTCGCAGGGGTCGCGGCTGCGACCGGGCCCGGCCCACCAGGGGGCCCGGCCGCCCCTGTGACCCGGTATGTACCCACAGGGCCAGCCTCTTCTCCTGGGGGGCCCAGGAGGCGGCCACCTCAGGGCCCCCCCCGAGGCTGGCCCTGCTGACCCCGGCGGGCGGTCTGTCTGTCTGGGTGACCGGCGCGCTAGGGAGCACTCTCCTCTGAGTGCTTCCTCTTCAGCTCCCTCGCGCACCGAATGCATACCGGAGCCGGAAGATGACGTCATCTTCTGGCGCCGGCATCCCTATGTAGCGCGCGAGGGAGCTGAAGAGGAAGCACTCAGAGGAGAGTGCTCCCTCGCGCGACAGCCAGCCCGCCCAGCAGCACCACTGGACCCCAGGGAATCCCCCACGCACTCCAAAAGGTAAGGAGGCTGGGGGGATTAAATTAAAAAAAAAAATGTGTGTGTGTGTGTGTTAGTGTGTGTGTGTTAGTGTTTGTGTGTTAGTGTGTGTGTGTGTTAGTGTTTGTGTGTTTGTGTTAGTGTGTGTGTCAGTGAGTGTGTCTGTTATTGGGTGTGTGTCTGCTAGTGAGTGTGTTACTGTGTGTGTCTGTTACTGAGTGTGTTTGATGTCTGTTAGTGAGTGTGTGTTTGTCAGTGAAAGTGTATGCTTTGTAAGTGAGTGTGTATGTATGTCTGTCACTGAGTGTGTCTCTGTCAGTAAGTGCGTGTGTCTGTTAGCTAGTGCGTATGCGTCTGTTAGTGAGAGTGTGTGTGTGTGTGTCTTCAGCATTTACCTTTCTCCAGCGTCGGACTCCCTTGGCGCTGGGGATCCCTCCGCCTCTCAGCTCCGAATGCACATGCACGGCAAGAGGCGCGCGCGCATTTAAACCGCCTATAGGAAAGCATTACTCAATGCTTTCCTATGGACGTTCAGTGTATTCTCACTGTGATTTTCACAGTGAGAATCGCGGAAGCTTCTCTAGCAGCTGTCAATGAGACAGCCACCAGAGGCTGGATTAACCCTCAGTGAAACATAGCCGTTTCTCTGAAACTGCTATGTTTTCAGCTGCAGGGTTAAAACTAGAGGGACCTGGCATCCAGACCACTTCATTGAGCTGATGTGATCTGGGTGTCTGTAGTGGTCCTTTAAGTGTGTGGGCATACCGCTGTCACGGGGTCGCAGCCCTGCAACCCCTGCGACCCCTGCGACCAGGTGCCCGCCGCCATGTGTTGCGGCCCCGACCCACGCCGAGTAAGCGCGGGGGGGCCCACGGATCAATTTTCGCACCGGGGCCCCATGGGTCATGTGTACTCCACTGGGTTAAACATTGGATTAGCTAAAATCATCAAGATTGATGATCTAAGCCAATGAGGTCGAGATGCAGTGGGACGATTGGAGCATTATCTTACCTTTCAAACCCTCACTGGTGCAGGGGGAACCTAAATAGGTAGATTAAAAATATGGCATTAGGAATACGTTTGTATTCATAACGCTATACTGTTCCTGATGCCTTTATAGATATATACATGATGGTATATATTTTAATAATAATAATATCCTTTAGCCAATCGATCTTGTTCAAATGATGATCTCTATCACGCATTCTCAGCTAGGTTCGTCATCCGATACATTGCCCATAAGCATACATTTAATACGAACTCAAGAAATAAAGATTATGTGATAAACGTCTGACCTTCGAACACCTTTGTGCCGATTGTGGGAATATATATTTGACTCCCCCAGATAGGGAGAGGTTAACAGATAAATTTAGAAATCAAAACACAAGCGGAAGCCGCTGGGTGGATTAATTAACAATGTGAGTCATGGATACCCGCCAACACCACGAAGAACCAGTTAATCATTTGATTTTTATAACTATATCACTTTCAGTCCAAACAAGTCATTTGTCAGCCTCGTATAATCTGATGCATTTGGTTTTATGGGTGTCAGAACCTGCCTATTTCCCAATAGATTCAAGTTTGGACTAAAGTTGTGTAGTAATCAATGTTATTGTGAGTCTGATTTCCATCAGAGTAACTTTAATCAAATTCACTACATACATACCTAGTGTATAGGACTGCTTTACACACATGGACCTACCGTTGGGTTGGTGAAAACCGGCACCCACCAGGAGCGCAGGCCGAGGGGGGGTGGGGCGCAAAAATCAAGTGTCAGTATGACAGGCACCCGGCACCCCAGGCAAGCGTGCGGCTACATAAGGGAACCGCATGCACAGTAGGAGGGGGAGCTTCCGTTCTGCGTAGGAGCGCCGGGTGTCACGTGACTAGCTGGCGCTTAGTGTGAGAGCGCGTCGCCAGCGAGAGGCTGCCCCCCCTTACCCGCTCTAACAGGTAAAATGGCAGGGGGCGCCAATATGGTTCCTCGCCAATGGCGCTGGAGACCCTAGGTACGCATCTGTTTACACAAGAAACATTGACAGAGTATAGTCTACCCTGAGGGACCTCTTGAAATTGAATATCAGTCAGTCAAATACTCAGCCTTCAAAATCTATTTCTTAGAAAATTCTCCCTCTCTCTGTATATATAAATTTGTGAATATTCTAGAAACATGTGTGTGTATGTGTGTGTGTGTATGTATGTGTGTGTATGTGTACACATACACATACACACGTTCCTAGAATATTCATAAATATATGAAGCAAATACTATATCTCTATTTTGCTTTGTATATATAAATAAATTTAGAGATAGAGGGAGAGACTTTTCTAAGAAAATAGATTTTGAAGGCTGAGTATTTTCTTTATGTTTTTGTGAATATTCTAGGCGGAACTACTAAAACTTTACACTAGTGCACTGTTCCTAATTATGGAATGCCTAAAGTTAAACTGCACAAGAACATGTTACTGTTGTGGTATAAGTCAAGAATTGTAAGACTGATATTCAATTTCAAAAGGTCCCTCCAAATAAATTATACTCCGTCAATGTTTTTAGCATCTTGTGTAATACAGTCAATAATCTACTATACGCCAACAAGGATTGACCTTCCACTTTAAGAGCCC